GCAACATACGGAATAACCACTGGTTTGGGTCTGGGTTTGGGGTCTTCATTTTCACCTGAAGGTTGCATGGAATCCTGTCTGTGTTTCCTGTGTGCTTTCAGGAAAGCCCAGTCAGGATAACCACACTGCTCCAGGGCCTGTCGTGTGTGTGATTTCTCTTTCATTAAAGAAACGTTTCATTAAAGAAGAACCCGTCCAGAGGACCTATACAATTTTTTTCCTTTAGCTGAAGACAAAGATTAAAAATGCTGCAGACAGGAGTTAGGTTTTGGTCTAATGTTAATTAAATAAATCCAGCCATCACTATGTTTCTTTTATTTCTGTTGTATCATTTTGTTATTAACTGTTCTGTCTGTGTTTGACAGATTTGTGTACATCTGGGACACCACATCACGTAGAATCTTGTACAAGCTGCCGGGTCACGCCGGTTCTGTTAACGAGGTGGTCTTTCACCCAGAGGAGCCTGTAGGTGAGCATCAGATTAGTTTCAGTCCTTTTTACAGAGATTTATGAAGCACAGAGGAATGAGCTGGACGATTAAAGAGGTTCCACATGGTAGAAATCTGTTTGTTTTGTTGATTTGCTCACGTTAAAAATGATTGTTTTTTTTGTGTCTCATTACAGTGCTTTCTGGTTCCAGTGATAAACGTCTGTATATGGGAGAAATCCAATAAAACGTGTGAGTGTGTGTGTGCTGCTTTGGACGTGTTTGATGGGGTAGGAGTCTTCAGCTTGTCTCAGAACAACCTCAGGGGGGCGTTTATTAAAATCGGTTACAGCCACCCCCTTTTTTTACTCTGATTTCTTTCTTTTTAATAAATTTGATTATTCTGTAAAAACACCTTGTCTTGTCGTTTACCCTTCATCTGATTAAAACAGTTTTCTCTGATGTCACTGCCTCTTTAAACTCTAAGCTAGTCATGGAGGTTTATAATTGTGATAATACTTTACTCTTTTTTTAAATATACAGGATAGGTTTTAGCTTACTTACTGTTTTCAATTACAGTTTTAGATTACTTAGGATTACATAGATTAAATACTTTTCAGAGGTTGGTCATATTCTGAACTTTTGCCTTGGAGACTTGATTTATTAAACAGTGAAAAGATATTTTTTAGGTTTCTAAAGAACCAGCTTTGCTTCATTGGGTCCAAATTTCCCAATAAACTTTTTTTTTTTTTTTTTACAATTGTTGAGACTGTGGTTAACACTTCTCACAATGCCCTGTTGTTCAGGTATGTATTGTTTTAAAGAATTTTTGTTTTATTTTACTCCCGTTGCATGAAATCAAAAGTGTCAACACTAAAAGGATCTTTGAAATGTGCGTTTAACTCAAAATGTGTACTAGAATATTAAAAAAAATGTAAACAAAACTTAGATTTAGCTTCCTAGGAGCCCAACATAATTACAGACTGGGGACCACAACTGTTACAGATGATGATTTCAGGTAATTTGTCTGGAAAAAATATATATTTTTACTTTCAAATTGGGTTATAAATGGAAGAATTTGTTTTGGTGACATGCTGCTTGTGACAAAGCATACAAATGTCATTTAAAAGTGGTTATCAAGTTCAGAAAATTCCCTGGTTTTTCCCATGAGGGTGTTTTTAAAATCTAAATTATTCTTATTTCAGTGTTTGTTTGTTTTTACAGGAAAAATGATACGACTTCTGAAACCCTGGGAAATGGTTTTGCTTTTTAAAAAGATAAATATAAAGAAATAACTCAAGACTTGCGTACAAAAATGTTTATAAATTTATTTGGAGTAATTTTGTGTGTATCCTTCCGGACGCAACCTGGGATTGAACTCGCAACCTCAGGAACACTAATGTGCACCGATCATATTTCTCGTTCTAAGGCAGTTATTAGCTTATATTGGAGCATGCTATTGGGCTCGAGTTCTCCAACAGAAACGAATCATGGTTTTTATTTGTATTTCTCCGTGAAAATAACCAGACTAGGCTGTATTCTTAGTAAAACTACGCTTTACTCGCTAGCTCCATGTTTCTTTTCTTGTGGTCGCGTGGAGCGCCTTTCGGGGATGCTAGCTGTTCGGTCGCGCGCCGAGCAGAATCCACGCAGCTCCTCCTCCAGGGGGGTCGCGGTGTCTGTGAGCCCCCACCCCCCTCTCGGAGTCGGCACCGACTGTTGACAAAAGGCTCCGCTAGAGACGGAGCGGAGGAGGCCAGAGAAGGAGAGAGGGAGACACCGCTACTGGTTCTGTCCACGAGCTTTTAGTTTTCGCCTTCGCGGAGCAGCGCGAGGAGACCAGGACCCGGACGGTAGAGGAGGACCGCGCGGATCCGTGGTGAGTCAGTTCGAACTGCTTTGTTTGTGTCCGCGGCGGGCTGGTAGCCAATCGTTAGCCACAGAGCCTCTGCKGGGGTCGGTGTCTCCTCTCCCCACCGCCCCCCGTGTGATCCAGTATCATATGATGCTGGTTTCTGTCTGCAGCCCGGGGCTCATTGTGACAGCTTTCCGTCTCTCTTTGTGCCTTTGTGCGTCCCCTCTAAGGGAAGGTGTGGCCGGAGTTCGCAGCAGGCCRGTGTGAAGCGGACCCGCTCCTCCTCCTCCTCTTCCTCCTCTTCTTCCTCACCGCCGCTGGAATTTAGCAACTAAAAAAAAAAGAAGAAAAAAGCAGGAGGCCAACATGGGTCAGCCTCTGTGAGTGAGGGAGGGAGCGGCGGCCCCGTGCAGGTCTGTTCACCCGGGCATGGTGTGAGCTGAGACGGGCAGGCAGTCTGGATCTAACCGGGGACTCATCGTTTCCCCGGAGCCTCCGCGGCTCCAAGCCGCGACCTGAGCCCTCCAAAATGGGGAAGTGCGACGGGAGGTGCACGCTGTTAGTGATATGTTCACTGCAGTTGGTAAGTGTGTGTGTGTGTGTGTGTGTGTGTGTGTGTGTGTGTGTGTGTGTGTGTGTGTGTGTGTGTGTGTGTGTGTGCGTGTGTGTGTAGATATGACTGTGCAACACCGAGCTGTTGCTCCGTGGTTGCACCCTGGACTCTTACCACTCTGTGCCCGTGTGATTATTATTATTTTTGAAACTTTTCTTTTGTTAGGTGGGTGTCACTCTGTGTGTACGTGCCTGTATGTTTCGGGGGGGCGGGGTCACACAATACAAYAAACAGAGGCACACGGCTCGTACCTGTTGTCGTTTTAGATCGTGGTGATGTCAAACTAGAGCAGTCTAACAGCTTCCTCCTCCCAAAGCCGTCTTTCCTCACGTCACAGCCGAGCCGCGCTGATCACACCAGTGAATAAGTTTAATTTCAGCTCGTGTTTTTTTATTTTATTTTTTTATTTGTTTCRTTTATCTAACAACAATAAATTGTAYGTATGTTTGTTTCAACTGTTCAGAACCATAATAAGTGTGTTAAGGTTACAGTTTGCTGCTGGACTGATTGAAAAATAAGCTTTTTAAATTTTTTATCATGAGTTTTTATTTTATAAATGAGACGGTCCACCTTTCTATTCATGRTTTATGTTTTCCTCTTGGTGACGAATAAGTGTGTAATCCTGTTTATTGCTGTGTTGTTTTGAAGTAAGGCCACGATGCACAGTTAAAAAGCCTTATTTGCCATGTTTGGACAGAGATGTGACTTCATTACAAATCTTTCTGTGAGTCRATGGTCCTGTTCCAGGTCTGTTCAGCTTCTTGTGTCGATTAAAGATGGCTTTGGGATCAGGTTTTAGAGTGTCTAAATGTGGGGAGGTGTAGCAAGGGAACCGCATGTAAATAACCAGCTGATTGTTTTGTTGGTTACATTTACAAATAAAAATGGGGGTGGGGTACCCATCACAGTATTACTTTGAACCTTCATCTCTCTTTTTAGATCCCCCTCCCCCCTTTTTGCCATAAATGTCACACTCACACACATATGCTTGCGGCTCATTCACTGATCCTTATCAGAACACAATTAAACTCTGAGGGGAGGGCGGGGGTCCTAATGTGGATAAATTAATAAGGGAGGCGCAGACTTTGAAGGTGAAGTTTGAAATAATAAAAACAATTTCTACATTAAAATAAGACTTCTGTCGTCATCTGCAGACACATTTAAGGTTCAGTTTGTTTTGGTTGTATTGAAAAAAACTGCAATAATCATAAAGTGAATTATTCAAAGGCTGCACTAGAATAAAAACAGTCAGGGTCACTTTTTGATGGTTGGTAATATTGTCAGCAGCAGATGTTCAAGACTTTAAATAAAATCTCACTATAAAGAAAATAAAGTCTCAAAATAGTAATATAACCTTAATTATATTGATTACTTTTGTTTTAATAAGGTTTATGTATTTGCACTACTTAAAAAATGTAAATGAATAAAAAAAGTCAACAATCATTTTAGTTACATCTAAGATGCAAATAGGAAAAACGTTTCATTTAAGCTTTTTACGTGGTAAATTTGGTCTTTTTCATTTATATAAAACCAGTGGTGGATCTAGGATTTTTCTGAGTAAGGGGCCACTATATTCATAGAGGGGCCAAGCATTTGTTCAACATCCTGTCACACAAATCCCCAGTTTTGGTAAGGT